TATAATCTTATTTGTCTATTTTTGTTTTCTGTGTTTTTGAGGTCTTCTTCATAAAAGCTTTCCCCTGACCAATGGCCTGAAGTGTTTCCCTTATGTTTTCTTCTAGTAGTTTCATAGTTTGGGGTCTTAGATTTAAGTCTTCAATTCCTTTTTATTTGATTTTTTTGTATGTGATGAGAGGTAGGAGCCCTGTTTCCTTCTCCTGAATATGGATATCCAATTTTAATGAATTCCTGTTTGGGTTAGAGTAAAATCCAAACTCCAAACCATGGTCTCCATTTACTCACATAAGTAGATTCCTTGCCTGGTCTCCCATCTCATTTTATACCATTCACAGGGCTTCATTCTGTTCCTTAAAACATCAAACTCTTTTTGTTTCCTTCTTGGTCTTCTTTCTTGGGCTTTTTCACTAATCTCATCAGGATGAAAAGTTCATGATTTGTCTGGATCATTCACGAATGATCTTCCTACTGCAATTTATTCACACAATACCCCTTTCATTTTCTTCACAGATCTGGTATCACATTTTTAACTACCTTTTTATTATTGTATTTGTAAATGCTTCTCTCTTCTAGCAGAACTTCACGAGGCCAGACGCTTTATATGTATCTTGTTTATCTTTATATCTTCAATGTTAAAAGAGCCTAGCACAGAGTAGACAATAAATAATTGTTGAGTGAATGAAAGAATGAACGTAAGGAAGAATTATTGCCCATCCACATCTCCATGGTTAGCAGAGTCAGAGAATAAGGTGACAAGAAGACCCCTCATATGATGATAATTTACAAGGTGTCTGTGTGCCTATGGGTAATTGAAAAGAAGTACTCAAGCCTGTAATCCCAGCACTTTGGGAGGCCGAGACGGGTGGATCACGAAGTCAGGAGATCGAGACCATCCTGGCGAACACAGTGAAACCCCGTCTCTACTAAAACTACAAAAAACTAGCCGGGCAAGGTGGCGGGCGCCTGTAGTCCCAGCTACTCGGGAGGCTGAGGCAGGAGAATGGCGTAAACCCGGGAGGCGGAGCTTGCAGTGAGCTGAGATCCGGCCACTGCACTCCAGCCTGGGCGACAGAGCGAGACTCCGTCTCAAAAAAAAAAAAAAAGAAGTAAATATGAAGGTTTTAAAAGTTGAGAAAGAAGTGTATAATAATAGCAAATACATTGAGCTTTGTTTGTTTACCAGGGATAGTTCTAAGAAATTTAGCTATATTAACTAATCAAATTATCTCTACAATCCTAAAAAGTAGAAACTGTTATTAACATTCTTTTATGGACGAGGAAATAGTCACAAAGGAGTTGAGTTAGTTTTGCTCAAGATCACACGGCTAGCAAATGTCAAGGCAGGTAAATCCAAGCAGTTTGGTTTCAGAGCCCATGCATGTGACCACCCTACTCTAGAGTTTCTTACAGGTTCATCAAGTCATCTTTGATACCACATGATGAAAGCAAGGGCCCTAGCTTATAAATGTTTGTATCCACTTAGCCCTTAATCCATTGCCTTACCTGTGACTGTTGTGTATCAGATTGAAGGAGATGTTGAAGGGTCTGAGAATGTCAGCAGGATAGGTGAGAAGAGAAAGGTCCTAAGTTAAACATTAAAATTAACAACTTACTTGGAGAATATTCTGCAGATTGGTAGGAAAACAATGATAAAGATTAAATCAAAATGTGAAACCTGGCGATAAATACAAATAATAGAGTTTTGTGGAATCCAGAAAAACAAAAAGCAGGGTAAGAATGAATGTGTTTCAGGAGTATGGCATTCAAAAGAAAGAATGTAACTTGACAAGGGTATATAAATATGTGATTACATTGGCAACCATAACCCCTTAGTGAAGAGGAATGACTCACCAGCCTTCATAGCTTAACCTTCTTCCCCACCTACATAATGTTGTTTTACCCCAGCTGTTATGAAAAAAAAAATGTTAAAGTTGTTTTACCCCACTTGGTATAAAAATGTTAAAGTTATGAAAAATGTTAAAGTTTCCATTTAGGAATTGTCCTCTCAACCCCCTCAATTATATATTAAATATCTCATGCATTGTAAATAATAAATAGAACTATTCTAAACGTCAAAAAAATAATCATCTTTTCAGACCATGTGATTTCGATTTCTCTGATTCCATATTTACCAAACAACTTTCAAATTTAAATTCAATTTCCCAGTGCTTCCTGACCTGGACAAGAAAGCACAAAGGAACAAAAAATAAAACACAAACAACTTGTCTGTTTTAAAGCAAAAATTTTCATGGAAAATTATTAAATTTGCTCTCTATTACCAATTTGAGTAATGCTGCTTGAGTATTTAACCTATGCAAGCAATCCTTCTAGGCTGTGGGAGCGGTACAAAAACATCATCCCTGTTCTGTTCTCAGTTTGCTTTCAAAGTTGTAAGGTGAGGCTGTGTTTGTTTCAGCATAAATGTGGGCCTTATTATCATCTGGAGGAGCTGACCATTAAATTCCTTGACCTGTAGCAGTGGAGGAACAAATCCTGGGCCCATATAGCTTTGAAGTAATCTGTCTCCACCAGAAGTACCTGCATTTCCAGAAGTGGCAAACACTTTTTTCTTTCAGAATTCTTACTTGGCACCTGTTCAAACTTAATTCATGTTCCTCCTCTATCTCGTGAACTGGTATTGACCTGTTCAACCAGGAATGAACATGTTTGCAACTACAAACTAAAATAATGCCTGGCCTTCCATGATACTGACACCAAACACTGGTGCCATAACCCCCTTTTTAGGTGTGGTCTTGGGAAAACTTAAGAGACAAAGATTGCGTGATCTTGGCAATAACTTGGAAGATTTTTATTATTTGCTTACACCAAAAACCCAGAATAAATAATTTAAACCTATTTTAGAGTGTTCGTTTTTCCATCAAGAATTATGTAGTTTGGGCCGGGCGCGGTGGCTCAAGCCTGTAATCCCAGCACTTTGGGAGGCCGAGGCAGGCGGATCACGAGGTCAGGAGATCGAGACCATCCTGGCTAACACGGTGAAACCCCCGTCTCTACTAAAAATACAAAAAGAAATTAGCCGGGCGTGGTGGCGGGCGCCTGTAGTCCCAGCTACTCCGGAGGCTGAGGCAGGAGAATGGCGTGAACCCAGGAGGCGGAGCTTGCAGTGAGCCGAGATCGCGCCACTGCACTCCAGTCTGGGCAACAGAGCTAGACTCCGTCTCAAAAAAAAAAAAAAAAAAAAATTATGTAGTTTGATAACTCTCTCTTCCTCTCTTACACACACACACATACACACATATGCACACATGTGCACTGTCAGTGCATGAGGATGGGAGAAAGGAAGATGGAGGTAACATTATAAGACTTGAATGAATCTGGTTGCCACTGCAACCATCACCCTTTGTCCTACTTGTCTGTTCCTAACACCTTATGGTCTTTAGCATGACCCCGTAAGCTTTGGTGCGTGGAGCCCTCCTCAGGCTAGTGTTAACAGGTTGACATAAAAATACTCAAAAATTACATAAATTTTAAATGTCCACTAAGGTAAAGGTAATAGGCATTCTAAGATAAAGGGAGTAAAGTTTCTCACAGAAAGGCTGTTTAATTGTTAACAAATACAGCCTCGATGACTAAAACACTGCTGTGTACTCTTGCAACTATGGCCTCAGCTACTGTGCTTACTAGACAAGGCTTCAAAACACTCATCCAGTTTGGATTGAAATCAGAGTAAACTGAATATGAGATTTTTTCTTTCCACCCGCTTTTCTCCTCCATGCCATTACTTTTTCGTAGTTAATGTCTATGTGGAACTAACTCACTGCACTGTTTTTCCATTTGTACTCCCCAAAGCCTCCTCCAGAGTCATAAAACCATGAATAAGAGGAATTAGCAAACAGAAAGCCTATGATTTTAGAGTATCTGGGGTAAATGGGAATATAATTAGGCTTGTGCTGGTTTACAATTAGGAAAGGGATTATATCTGCCTTTGCTCACTATCTATGAAGGTAACCTGGAGAAATATGACTAATTTGGAGGAGAATTATCACGTTAGCCCATAGCTCTAGGTCAGCCTCTCTCTCTCCCAACTGTGGTAACCCTACAGGCCCCTTCTTAAAGAGAAAACACTGGCTACCAACCCTGCTGCTTTATAAATGCTGTCTCCAACCTGGAGGGATTGTGCTCACAGCACAGTGCAATTTTCATTTAGAATTGGGCTTCCAATTGTGTAGATACACCTCATTAGATAAGCCCTGCCTCTAGAGTCAGGGACTTTCGTACAGGTGTTAAGTACTAGAGGAGGGAAAAATCCAACTAACAAATAAATGAAGAAAAGCTTTGATTTTTACTCAAATAAATCAGGGAGGGCAACATTCTTTATTCCAGGTCCCCTGTGCCACGCAGTTCTAAGGTTTGCTATTGCTATTGCTATTGTTTTATTTCATTTCATATTTCTTCACCCCAGGGTAGGAAGTCACATTGTTTGCAGATAATGAGGGTGTGGTTAGATATGGGTTTGGCTTTGTAGAATTATAGAAAAATTAAAAAAGCCTAATATATTGTTTTCCTCCCTAAGGCTCCCACTCCTATGCTTTCCTGTCATTGTCAGGTGTGCCATTTGGAAGTATTCAGTTACATTTATTTAAATGTTTTTTTTATCAGCCTCTGCTGAGGATATGTTTGGCACTTTATTTTACTTATTGGTTTATCCAGTGAGTTGTTTCTCAGTTGTCTAAGGAAATATGTGTGCTGATAACTGCAGCAGGTGTTAAATTGTTTGGCAGGGGTTGTCACTTGGAAGAGAACCAACCCAGCTTGGGCCACGTCCTGTGGTAGTAAATTTCAGCTCCATTGTAGGTTTCTCCTGCTTATTGCTGATTTACATGTTAGGAAGAACATCTTAGGAGGTTCTATTGGGTTAGATGACCCTGTTGCCCTCAGAAATATTTAATGAATCAGTACCTATTAGAAGACAAGACTAGAGACAATTGCTCATCTATTTTGCTCTTTTTTCTCTGTTTTTTTTTTTTTTTCTCTTAGCCTTTTCATCATGTGAAAGAGAATTGCATCATAAACCTGCTGTGTGCAATTAATATGTGATACTGTACTTGCCTTTTTCTGGATACCTTTTTATGTTTCATGATTAACTTTGGCTAACAGCAGAAATGGGAGAGAAGTGTCCAGAGAGGGATGCTACTAAAAAGGCTTTATGTGACAAACCATATTGTCAGACATTAACAGAAAATACACCACTGCAGAATGATGGCAACACGCAGAGACAAAGCACCAATGGCCATCACAGGTAACATTATACATGTAATCTCCTTTAAGTTCTTTTTTTACAGGTTATTGTTCTGCAAAGTACATTCTGTATTGTTATTTGGGTAAATTAATGGTTTTTAGAGTTAGAAAATTTTCCTCAGTAAACTCAGTGCCCCCTTTCTACATTTCATGAAATTACTTTTATTTTAGCTTTAGCTTTCATTCTATGTCCTTTTCATTTGAACTATTGGTAAACCGAAATCTTGCTTCATTCTTCTCATCACTGATTGTCACTAACGATGTTTCCAGACCTGTGGATTGCCTGTACTTTTAAATTACACCACCCCATCTAAAATAACCACCAAGTAGCCTGCCGCCTGAAACACACATCCCATTTTATTCAAAAAACATTTCCTCCAAGTTGGGAACTGTGATACAGTCTTTACTTGCTCACTTAAAACGTGAAGATAATACAATGTTTCCAGTCATTCTCAAATTATACTCTGAAGGAAAATGCCCCTGTGCAGTGTTTCAAAGGTTGTATAACCATAAAATTCACCTTTTTGAAAACATCAATTCTAGCCTTGAACTAGACTGGTTGGGATCAGAATCTCCAGGGGGAGTGGCCCGGGAAGCTGTAATTTCATCAAAACACTTACTCTTGCTATCAGGCAAGTTTGGGGAACTCCTCTTTGCATCTATGAACTATCTGGTATAGGGGAAACAGAATAGTCTACAAAGATAGGAAGATATAGGTTTGAGGCTGTGCTTTACCATTTACTAATTTATGACCTTGAGTGAGTATACTTCTCTGAGCTTCAATTTACTGATATGTAGATTAGGCATAATATGGATTATGAGGAGCTGATATTGAAAACAATTGACAGCGAGCATGGCATGGCAGCAACCAATCAGAATCAACACTGGCCAGAGAACTGTGCCAGGAATCAACCTTTTGATTGTTGGATTATGGGGCTTGGGAGCAGCTGATGGTAAGAAAGCCTGGAAGACTTGGAAGGTCTTTGGGAGACTGGGGCAGTGGCTATTTACTAACCCGTGAGAAAGCATTGCAGTATTTTCACAGCTGGGAATGCTATATTCATATGCCCATCAGCTGGCTATCAGCCCTGCATAAATGAAAAGGTGGTTGTACATGTTAACATAAAACTTAAAAACACAGTTCCTAGCCAGCTGGGCGCAGTGGCTCATGGCTGTAATCCCAGCATTTTGGGAGGCCGAGGTGGGCGGATCACGAGGTCAGGAGATGGAGACCAGCCTGGCTAACACGGTGAAACCCTGCCTCTACTAAAAACAAAAAATTAGCTGGGCATGGTGGCGGGCGCCTGTAGTCCCAACTCCTTGGGAGGCTGAGGCAGGAGAATGGCGAGAACCTGGGAGGCGGAGCTTGCAGTGAGCTGAGATTGCGCCTCTGCACTCCAGCCTGGGTAACAGAGCAAGACTGCGTCTCAAAAAACAAACAAACAAAAAGAGTTCCTAATACCTACCGGGTATTTAACAGGTATAAGTTACTATTATCTTTTATGGTTTTATTGCTTATATGGCACTTGTTATACCTGGAGTATAGGGCTGAAGAGACAAAGAGCAGGACCATAAATTCATCAATACCGCCAGGGCTTCTAAAATAGGATTAAAACCAGAGTATTAATCTAGCCATAGGAGGATAAGGATGTGAATATAGAAAGGGAATCTGAAATTGGGAGATGAGTCAAAGGGGAAAGAACAGACATGATATAAACCAAGGTTCGAGTGAAACTCATATGTTACCTTAAGCAGAGGTGGAACAGGTAGTTATTACAGGCCATACACAGTGGACAACTGGCAGAGATCAAAGAAGCAGGTATTCTGCTCTTCAGTAGTACATGTCAGGAACCCAGATGTAGGGATTGGGATCAAACTAGATGTCTTAGTCAGTCTAAGCTGCTATAACAAATATCATAGACTAGATGACTTAAACCATAAACATGTATTCCTTGCAGTTCTGGAGGCTGGGAAGTCCAAGTTCATGCCAGCTGATTCAGTTTGTGGTTAAGGCCTTCTTCCTGGTTTTCAAATGGATGCCTTCTTGCTATATCCTCTCTTAGTGGACTGAGAAATCATCTTTCTGGTGTTTTTCTTATAAGGGCACTAATCCCATCATGAGGGTTCCACCCTCATGACCTAATTACCTCCATTCCACATATGATTACATTAAAAATTAGCCTTCAACAAATGAATTTTGGTGGCATGCAAACATACAGTGTCTGCCATTAGGTGAGGGCCCAGCTAATAAAGGTGGTCAGGGATAGGAACACAGTCTTGGGGAAACTTGGTTGCACTAGTCACAGTGTTATGATAGAAAATAAATTGATTTAGTATGGAGATTAAACTTCTTAAATACAAGCCCTGAAATTATCTGTGTCTAAGGACTGGGCTGATTACAGTATATAGATGAAGGCTAAGCAGATATTTTTCCAACTGCTACTCTGATCTATATGGGAAGAGCCAAACAATGCTAGGGGATACTGGGAAAGGATTGGGTAAGAAAGGAAGGCAATGACCTGCAGAGGGACTGGGCTGGGAAACAGAAGTCAGCAGGCATGGAAATTGCCTGTTGGGGATGTCATTCTTTGTCAACTCACACTCACCAGTAATTCCCACCTCTAGTCCATTTTTCTCTCGTTCAATGACATCTGCTCTCCAAGTCATGTAACTGATGGAAGCATATCTGCATTACCCCAGGAAAGGATTATATACATTTATTAAATGGAAACAGAGCTAATTGTAGAAAACTTAACTTAAAAAAAAACACAAAATACTACTCAAGGTAATGAGTGACAGAAGTGTAGCCTGCAAATCTGTCACTGAACCACTGCTGGAAGGAAGAGGAATCCAGCTGCTGGCACCTCTGTGGTGCCAAATCTGAGTAAACTTCATGTTTTGTAACCCACAGCAGTATTGATTATTTTCTGTTGCCTTCTGTGGGAACCAGAAATAATTGTAGCAAGAAGGCTGGCCATGGGCAAGAAGAAAAAGGGGTTTCCAAGTAGCTCAGGAAACACAAGGGAGGGGAGCATCTATTGACTGGAACCTCAGGGTCCTGGGTTACCTTTTGAAACCTGCCTCTTCCTCCACAGAGCTCTCGCCAGTGTTGATGTGGAGTAATGGGGAACATTTCTTCATTCCATTATCAGTAAACTCTAAAGGGAAGTCTTACCAAACCAAACTGCCTGCTGGTTGCTCTTATTTCTAAATTTTAAGCTGGTGACTAGAGTCACTCACAAAGTGGGTACTTGGTACTCAATGACTTAAATAAATGCATATTATTTATATCTTTAAATTAGTTTCTTTAGGCACCTCCTGTTCTAAGAACTGTCACAGTTAAGCTGAAGAGGGCGAGTTCGAGCTGGAAAGAGAGTTGCTGTTTCTTGAGTTTAAATTAAATCCTTGACATTATAAAGCATTACAGATACATTACCATTGTCGATTTTGTCCTGTTCATATGTTTTTGCTATTGCATTATTCAGAATTAAGTTAAAAATTCTTTTTTATTGTGTTTGAATGTTTCTAGGATGTGGACAGATCAATATTTCTAGCCTGTGCACACACTCTACCTAAGGGCTGTGAGTCATATTTGCTTTGAAAGAAATAGCACTTAAGGACTGTCAGTCAAGTCAGTTGTAAGAAACATAGAACCCTTTAAGAATTACTCTGCCTCCCCCTCACATCTAAATATAGCTAACCGGTTGGAGTGTCTAAAACAGACAGTGAAGCTGTATTTTTAAAATGGTGCAATTGCAATTAATCAATGTGAATAAAAAGCTATCAAGGTCTTTTTACCTATACATATCAAATATATAACTTTTATTAAATTAAAAATTGTATAACATGATGAGTAATGAATATGCATAAGGAAATGACCCAGGTTCTTCAAGTCATTTGTAGGTCAATATTACAGTATTTTACTTTTATGGATCCCTATAATCTGGTTGAGAAAGCACTGGATGGGGTGTGTGAAGATGGGATTTCTAGTATCCACTTGATCATTGCTTAAGTGTATAAATCTGGAAAAACTATCGCCTTCATCTCTTTCTTCCAAGGTCTGAGTTTCCTTTCAGACTACACGTTAAGAGCTACGTATTAAGAATTAACACTGTATCTTCAGGCTCATTTCCTTGTCTCTGTGAGAAGTTGGAGTTAATATCAATATAGCTTGATATAGAAACAATCCGCCTTTAACTGTACAGCTGGTTTACCCAATTAAGATCTGTTTAATGCTCTTGAAAGTAAATAAAAGCAAAATTCTTCCTCTTGTGTCTAATATACTAATGGCACAACAACAATGTAATCAGTGACTACTTACCTTAGGCTCCTCCCTGTGCTGGGTGGGTGTGTGTATATTGGATCTGCTCCCTGTATGTACTCCTATTTACCTATCACGTAATTTATATTTGGATTCTTCTGGCACATTACTGCCGGGAGTGCCAATAAAGGAGCCATACTGTGCCCTAATATCCTTGATTATATTTGTATCAGTGTCTACAGAGGTTATATCGGCAGACGGAACAATGGACTGTACCATTAAATTAGCACAATTTTGCAGCATCGCCTGGCAGAAGCTCACATTTAATCCAAGAGGTTATTCAACCCTATCCAATATGATTACTCTATAAATATTTGCCCAAGCTCAGCACCAGCCGTTATATCACTAATCACACACAGGTTTGTTATAGCGAAGACCCCCAGTGTCAGCAATTTGAAAAACAAAGCTAATTAGTTTTGATTTAGGGATGAGAAGACTTATTAAATTGAAAGCGAACAGTTTACATAGTATAGTGGCTATTTAGAGCACATATGAATGTGAAGGAGATGTATTGTTGTTTGCATAGGATTTTGAGTAGGAACAGAAAGACTAAGCTAGTAATTCAGAGATATGTGATGGCCAGTGGCTGCAACCAGTGATGGCTGGGGGACTTGCGGGGTCGGGGGTTAAGGGGAGACAACAGAAACATCCCTTAAAAGTACCACTCCAAACAAACATACATCTAAGTAAATGGTATATTGGCAACCAGCTTTAGGATAAGTTCCTGATTCCCCTTCCCAAACTGAGCACTGCCCCTAAACTTCTCCGACAGAGAATTCTGGGACCAACACCAGTATTGGTCCAAAGGTGGCAAAGCAGCCCCTCACCCCTACATCTCTCAGCCACCAGCCTACTGTGACGCTTGAGTTTGTTGGTTTTATTCTTATGTCTGCAGCCTTTAAAAATCTATTTTAAATTGCGGAGATCTTAGTAACATATAACCTTATCACCACGAAATAGTGCAGTACGATTTATTTAGTTTTTGAATGTCTAAAACTAAACTACTATCTAGTTTTTGAAAAGCAGTCTCATTCGATGAAGAAGACATTTACCCTGAGGAAAGAAAGAGAACTAACATTAATTGAACCTTTGATTGTGCCAAGCACTGCATTACCCTCTTTAAATATTCTCTCATTTAATGTAATACTCATAATAATTTTATTCGGTAGGGATTATTTCTTCCTTAGAGATGAGGAAACTGGGACCTAGTGGAGTTAAATAACCTACCTGAGGTCGTCTCACACTGACTTCGGTTGACAACCAGCTTCTTCCACTAACACTTGAGATCTTGGATAAATTGCTTCCCTTCTCTGTGTCACTTGCCTTTTCTGTGATGTAAGAGTAGATGAAATCACTCATCTTCCAACTTTTGTGATTGTACCATTTTGTTAGTAAAAAAGAAAAAAACTGAGCATGCGCCCTTTAATATATTGACTATTTTAAATAATAAATATGTAGTATTTTGAATGCATTCATTTAAGAATTATCTCATTTCTTTCAAATTTTACACTAAAAATATACACAGACATATAAATTTTAATAGATTTTCCCCTTGATATCAATGGATCAAGATTCATGTGCACCCGACTTTGGAGACTACTAGAATAGATGGCTTCCATGGTTTCTACAAGTTCTGTATGTATGATTGTAGGGTTTCTGGTCAGCTTTGTAAATCACAGAAAGAATGCACTGATAAAAATGTTATTGACATAGGTATTGACAAGCCAGAGAAGACTGGAAAAACTGGACCAAGAAATTAGTTCTGTTGGAAGGCAATTTGAAGGAACTGGAAACTCAACAAATGAGAAAGAAGAAGTCAGAATCACAGAAAGTGATATAATCAAATAATAGTAATGATAAATGCAAGAGAATACTTTCCATGTGCCAGTGTGTCCAGAATTGGCTCCTTCCGGTGGGTTCTTGGTCTCGCTGACTTCAAGAATGAAGCCGCGGACTCTGGCGGTGAGTGTTACAGTTCTTGTAGATGGTGTGTCTGGGGCTTGTTCCTTCAGACGTTCAGATGTGTCCAGCATTTCTTCCTTCCAGTGGGTTCGTGGTCTCGCTTGACTTCAGGAGTGAAGCCACAGACCTTGGCAGTGAGTGTTACAGCTCATAAAGTTAGTGCGGACCCAAAGAGTGAGGGGCAGCAAGATTTATTGTGAAAAGCAAAAGAACAAAGCTTCCACAGCGTGGAAGGGAACCCTAGCCGGTTGCCTCTGCTGGTTCCGGTGGCCAGCCTTTAGTCTCTTACTAGGACCCAACCATGTCCTGCTGATTGGTCCATTTTACAAAGTGCGGATTGGTCCATTTCACAGAGTGCTGATTGGTCCGTTTTTACAGAGTGCTGATTGGTGCGTTTACAAACCTTTAGCTAGACACAGAGCGCTGATTGGTGTGTTTACAATCCTTTCGCTAGATGGAAACATCTAGCTGGATACATCTGAACATCTGAAGGAATGTCTGAAGTTCTCCAACTCCCCACTTGACCCAGGAAGTCCACCGGGCTTTACCTGTCACCAGGCCCTGTTTTAAGCACTATTTATTTATTTATTTATTTAATCATCACACAAACCCCATGAGGTAGGTACAATGATTATCTCTAGTTTACAGAAGGGAAAAATGTGGTATAGAGAGGTCAAATAACTTATTGAAGGTCATATGTGTGTGTGTGTTGGGGGGGGTGTATAGCAGATATATATATATATCTCATTTAATTTAATACTCATAATAATTGTATTTGGTAGGGATTATTATTTCTTCCTTAGAGATGAGGAAACAGACCTAGTGGAGTTAAATAACCTGCCTGAGGTCACCTCACACTGACTTCCGTTGACAGCCAGCTTCTTCCACTAACAATTGAGATTCTATGGATAAGTATACATATATACACACACACACCCATAAATGGCAGAACTGAAATTCAACCCCAGTCAACCACCTGGTTCTAGAAATAAACAATAAAAGGAAGCAGAGGAACAAAGAATCATGGAAAATTGCTATTTCTTAGTGGACATTTGTTTATACGCGTAGAATACAAGCATCCTTACCCCATTCTTAAAACGCTTCCCAAGTTTCCCAACTGATAGGTGACTGAGACTCACTTCCATCCCTGCCCTTCCAGGTAGGCTCATCTAGTATACGATATTCAGTGCATTTTATCTAATTTTAGAGATAGATAACAGATCCAATTAAAACAAATTACGATCAAGAAGGTGTAATTCTGTGACTTAGTATGCTGTTAGAGTCAGATCTATCTTCCAAACATGAGCAGAGAGTTTGCCTGGAATGCAGTCAACACCAATGAAGCAGGGCAGAGAAATGGGGAGAGATCCTAATTTCATTTTATGACACTTGATTCAAGCTCTTACAGAAATTAGACACACCTGTGGGCTACCTAATTATACGAGTCAATAAATCCATTTTAGTTGAATTTGTATTGGGTATTGTCATACCTGCAAGATAAAAAGTTTTAACAAATATACAGAGAGAAGTCAGGCAGGGAAAGATCCCAACGTCTTTGAGATCAGCTTCAGGATTCAGGTAGTTACCATGGTCTTTCATATTCAGACCATGGCAGCTGACTAATAGATGGATCCATGATAGCACTGCAGACATTTTCTTGTTTTTCTATGTGCAGAGAAAAGTCTGGTTGACCTTTGCTGGTAGATGAATTATTACCTACTTCACGGTTTTGCCTAAGAGCCACCTAATGACTAACAAGTAAACTGAAGGATGTGGTCATAATCAACTAAATCAAAACCAGAAATCTTGAAGGATTTATGATCAAAGTTATAGTAATAGACTCTACAAAATCATTAATTGCAAACTCCAATAAAAAATAGTCTTGAAATAATCCCCTATATAAATGTTTCACCTTTTTTCTCAGTCCAAGTCTGTCTCCGTATTTCTGATGATTCTTTTGCTCATATTGTCCCTGATATGGCTCCTTCCCCTGACTTTCTATCCAGTGATATGGGAAGAGATGTTCTTCAAAGGCATTTTTTTTGTTGTTTATTTTCACCAATGTTGATCTTTCCTTTTTCTAAGCCACTGAAGTTGATATTACCTGTTCTACTTATGAGCATGTAGTTATTTGTCGTATTAGTATGTTGTACACTTGTGTGTGTGTGTGTGTGTGTGTGTGTGTGTGGAGGAGAAAGCAAGAGAGGTTTCATGCCACCTGATTCTTAGAGGACAAGCTCTATTCCCTGTACATTGAGCAAGACAGAGAAAAGAGAAGAATAGGGGGAGAGTCTAGATTTGTTGCTCAGCCTGAGGGTGGCATGTGGAGGCTGGAGTGCTTTTCACTGCAAAATCAGGCCAAATGTGGAATAGTCAGGAAAGATATAAGGATCTTCAGGTTCAAATAAATCTTCACTGTCTGTCAAAGGAAAAGCAATATAGGTGATGAGAAGATGACTGAATAACAGGCCAGACATTGAGGACAAGCCCTGAGGAGGTCCGGAGCATAGCCATTGAGTGACAGGAATTCTTGGTAGGAAAGCCTTTCCTGGGATCTGGAATGAAGCAGGACCCTAGACTTTGAAGACTAGGTGTAAGCAGAGTGTAGGAGCTCTAGGATTCAAACGGGACATATGTCACACTCTGAAATTAGGTCCAAGAAATGTAATGCTCTAAAATAATCACAAAGAAGAATTAGGAGAGTGATACAATAGGCAGGTCCTTAGACTGAGAACATGTAAGTTCTAGTTACTAGCTGAGTAATGTAGGACAGGTTACAATAGCCTCTCTATGCTTCAATTTCCTCTGCAGTTAAAAGAGGGAGCTGGACTAGATGAACCCCAAGATTTCATGGAGATGCTTCAGGGATTTCCTAACCAATAAATTACTTATTTTCTCCAATCATTAAATATTTTAGACCATCTGAAAGACTCACATATTGCTGTAAATTATTTTAAATATTAAGATTATCTTTAAGATTTTATTTGAACACAAAATCCTATGGGAAAATATAGTTTGAAAACCCATCTAATCTAGCAGAATATGTTTCTGTGATATGAATATGAAAATTGAGATGATCTATTCTAGCAAATAATCCTAGGTGGTAAGAGATTTGTAAGTTTTGTTGATACTGCTTGAGAGGATCTTGGGAGTAAAGGGCCTAAATAAAGGACATAATACAATATTTGTATTTCTGATCACATATATTTATGATTGCATTGCATATATAAATAATACATATCATAATGAACATTTTCAAAAATAGAGATAAGGAAGAACATGGATACATAAATATACACATATTCCTGTATGTATGTATATATGTGTGTGTGTGTGTTTAGTTTTTTAACAAACTTAGGGCCATGGTTTATATTCAAGAGTGAGTTAGGATGGTCTGGTAGGAGTGTTGAGATTACGAAAGTAATCAAATTACAAGATAATGTAAACATGCCGTAAAATAGGTAAATATAATTTGCTACAAAAGTTCAGCAGAGAATGACATCACCTTTAACTGGGTGAGAGCTTCAGAATTAAGAAGCAGTAGGAACTGGGTTGGGCTGTCTGGATTTTAGAGAGACTGATGTAAGAAAGAAGACACTCTCGGTCAGGACAGAGGACAGGTATGGCAATGGGAGTAGGCAGAACATGTGTAAATTAACCACCTCCAGACATTTATCCTCTCAACCTATTCTCCTTTGTCTGCCTCATCATGAATTTCATATACAGTCAAGATAATTTTTCTACTGACCCCATAATACCTATTTTGTCCTTCCTAAGCCCTTGTTCACGGGGATTGTGAAAGAGCGAGTCTTCATAGTGTTCACAGGAAAAGGTTCCATCACTGTTAACATGACGCACCCTATTTACAGATCTCATTTGAAGCAAGAAGCAATTCTTTTTTTTTTTTTTTTAAATCAGGATAGAAGCTTTAAACTCTATCCCTATATTTCCAATCCTCTTTAAATAAGAGAACAGAAGAAAAGGATTTTGCTCTTACAAAAAGATAATAGACAAGGAGGGCATAATTTTTCACAGCCAGTCAGCATTTAAAGATGATATTGGAAAGAAAAACCTTTCTATATAAGTCACAAATAGAATTCCATAAACAGACTGCCCTATGAGCAAATCTCCAATTAAAGACTGAGATTTCCCAATACTGGTTCTGTAGTAAGATGTAGCATTGGTTTTGCTGGCATGAAAACAGTAGAACACACAGAAGAAAAATCCATTTGACTCGAATTATTTTCAGTTATTGAGTTATTGAATCAAATGATTGCCAGTTTCTTCCCAAGGAGGACTGGAACTGTGATCGAAACCTGCTATATGTTTATTATACATTAATTGTTTAACCAAGATGTGGCTGTGCTTGAGAGAACCCTCTGTTCTCAATCCATCTGTTGAAGCCCAACTCCGCACTCTCATGATTTGCCTAGACCAATAGATTAGACTTGCCCAGGTCAATAAAAAGAAAATCGATTCCTAAGACTTTTCAGAGAGTGGAATACTTTACTAAACACAGTATGGGGAAAGGAGAGGAGGATTGTATTAGACATTATGTCTAACATCTTAATGAAAATCTCCATTAGAAAAGAGAGACTGGGAGGGGTGAGTGGGGAGGACAAAGAGAAGTGAGTTAAAGCTACAAACATATATATAAATTCAGTGTTTGATAGCAGAATAGGGTGACCATAGTTAAAAAAATATATTGTGCTTGGGATATGAACACCTTAAATACCCTGCTTTGATCACTATGCATTATATACATTTAACAAAATTGTACATGTACCCCATACATCTGTGCAAAAACATCTTCCTTCCTTTAGTCATACCTATTTTGAAGTCACATCTGTTCTGCCTCTGAAGTTCATCTTACTCCCCAGCTACTTCATCTCTGTCTCAACCCTTTCCCCAACTGCTCCTAAAGTCTCACTGGCTCTGCCTCACCAGGTTTCTATTCCAGCAACCATCTCCTCTTTTTATCTCCCTTCTATCTTACCTAGACCTGGCTAAACTCTCTCATTTTCAGTAGCCACTTTCTTTTGAGGGTGCCAGGGATTACAAATTACTAATTTTCGTAGGTAGACATTTTAAATTGTCCATATGTATTCTAAGGAATAATGTTTATTTTCAAGATGTCTGCTTAGTGATTCTCAACAAATATTCCACACTGTCTTGAAAGAGGGAAGCTTGAGTGACATAACCCCTTCCGGTACTGTTAACGCTGAATGCAGGTGAATCTTACCTAGATCTTACAGTCAAGATCTTGACACCTCAGACATTGACCAAACCAGGTAGAAGACCCATTCCATTTCCCAAACACTTCAATTTTATTGCAACATGACACATTCTAGAGATAAGATTGGAATGGTAGACTAGGCAGAAATCGTTAAATTCTTAAATTCCAGACAAGGGGAGCCACTAAGGGTTTCCAGCTGTGCTTCAGAAAATCCAAACAGACAGTCCTGGGGAGGCTCTATGGAAGTAGAGGGTGATGAAGGAGAGGCTAAAACTAGAGAATCCAGTTACTAAACTGTAGCAATATTTCTATGGTCACTTAGACGGTGTCCTCTGGTAAAAACCTGAGATAATTATCCTAGTTCTACCGTAGCCTGGAAAAAACATTACTTTCACTCTGGACAATTTGCTATTTCTTATTTGGATTTCCACCTAAGAAGGAAGTACCTTAAAAAGCAGATTGAATAGCTGATGAGCAGAAAGACAAAACTTCTCTTTTTTACTGATTAAATTGGAATTCTGATTTATAATTCAGCAATAATAAATATATGAGTGTGAATTCATTCTGAAGACTTGCATAGGCCCATAAAAAGGAAATATTTAAAATTTTTTCACACTTAAAGACAGAGACGTCTGTGAAGGCTCAGCATTTCAGCCCACTCACCTTCTAGTCAGTCATACTTCCCGCCCTCCCTTTATTTCTTAATTGCCATATAACATTTTAAGGTCATGTAGTCTGTTCTTCAGTTTCCTATCTATGAAAGGAAGATAATACTCATCCTAAAGTGTTATTTTGAGAATCGAATTATCAGTAGAAGAGAGGACACTAGAAAAAAAGTTGAAGTGTTATAAAAATGTAAAGGGATAAAAGATCAACTCTGTAAACAGAAATTGTTTGTCCTTGTGTTTCTGAGTGGGTCGTACATGGCTGTGCTGAAAAGACAAAAGACATTTAACTTATATAAAATGTATGTTCCTGCCTATTAATAATGTGTGAGAGTGTTCCATCCTTGGATTCTGTAAAATGTTGGGAAACACTGGTATTAGATATACAATGTTTCTAGGATTAAAATTGTAATGGAATATAAATTGGTAACTCCATAGAAGTTTTCTCAAGTGGTTGGAAAAATGTCCAGTTGAGGTGAGTCAAATCAGAATTTCTCAGTTTGGGGTAGGTCGTCCTCTGCTTATCATAAAAACAGTTCTCTTTACCACTTAATAATCTCAGTGCGCCTTTCCAGCGCTTATGCCATACTTCAGCCTTGCTTGAAAATGTGTGCTGTTGCTACCACTGATGTATCTGTTCTAGAAAGTAACAGGCTTTCATTTCCAGGACTGTCAAATCAGAAGTTTTCCCAAGAACATAAAGATTCACACTATTATTGCACATCATAGAACTCATGCCTGTAGCTTGAAAATAGAAGTCTTTGGTGTAGGCATTTGCTTGTTTGACAGTTCTGTTCTAAATTTTGAAACTAGTGGTACTGTAAAGTGCCTGTCTGACAGTGGTGTACCAGACCTTAGTCATGCAAAATAATTATTGTTCACGGTTCCTTAGCTGAAGTCAATAGCTCCATGCAAAACACAACATAATGCAGAGATCTAAAGTTACTAAATCGAAACGGAGAAAAAGAAGAATTTTAAACAGATTTGGAAGAAAAAAATAGACTCTACAAGATTTACCAAGTGATGTCTTGCAGCACATGGAAGGCTCTAGTCTTTCTAAAAGAAACTACATGATAGAAATGTTAACTTTTATTAATCCATTCTGGTAATTGTGGTCAGGAAGCTTACGTGAGTTCAAAAGAATGAGAGCAATTATGGAGATGTTAGCAAATAGTGTATAGTGTTTATTTTCTTAACTTGAAATCATATCTCCAGGTTTGTTTCTGCAAATTTGGTGTTTAAAGCCAGCAATACATCACCTATACTAAAGGAATTGATTAAATCAACTTAAAGAGCTACAGTTTTGGAACTAGAGTGGCAGGATGCCCTCCCTGGACCTTTGGTAAGCTCCATGAATCAGTGTAATAGTATATCCTGGAAAAGTCAATATTAACCCAACAAATAAATAATTTAGCCTCCATGTTGCCTGAAACATTTGCCAGGGAATTCTGGGAAGATTGCTGCTTGACTGCTTGAGCGAAAAGGATAACCTCGTTCTTAATCCTTGGTACACAATTGCATTTAAGACTACCCCCTTCTGGGAAAAACAAGGAAACAATAAAATCGATTGTTTCCCTGAACGAGACAAAAACACAGAAATAAATTAGAATTTCACAGACTACTTTATGACATATTTACCTACATTTACCTTCAACATTTCAATCTAATATTAAGGTGGAAGTACTTGTGATCATTATGTAATTATCTTATTATTCTTTTATTGTCAACTTCAATGAATTTTATAAAATTTTTCAATTTTTTAAAAATGTTACTTTTTAAATGATACTCAGTCCTTACATTGAGATTTGGTTTGTTCTTTCTTTTCTAGTTCCTTGAGGTGAATCATTAAGTTATTTAAAGTCTTTCTACTTTTTTGATGTACATGTTTATTGCTATAAACCTTTTTTCTTCATCCTGCTTTTGCTGTATCCTATAGATTTTGTTATGTTGTATTTCCGTTTTCTTTGTTTTAAGAAATTGTTGTTTCCTTCTTCATTACTTCATTGACCCTTTGGTCATCCAGGAATATGGTGCTTAAGTTTCATGTGTTTGTGTGTTTTCTGAGGTTCCTCTTGTTATTGATTTCTAGTTTTATTCCACTGTGATCAGAAAAGATACTTGGAATGGTTTCTACTTATTTGAATCAGTTGAGACTTGTTTTGTGGTCTAAGCAATGGTCTATTCTAGAGAACACATGTGCTGATGAAAAGACTGTGTATTCTGCAGCAGTTGGGTGAAATGTTCTCTAAATGTCAGAACTATTTAGTCTAGAGTAGAGTTTAACTTTGAGGTTTCTTTGTCGATTTTCTGTCTAGATAATCTGTCCATTAATGACAGTCAGGTGTTGAAATCCCTACCATTATTGTATTGCAGTCTCTCTCTCCATTCATATCTAATAATGTTTGTTTTATATACATAGGAATGCCAGTACTTGGTGCATAGATATTTATAATTGTTTTCCCTTGCTGAATTGTCCCCTTTATCATTATACAGTGATCTCTTTGTTTCTGTTTGTTTTTAATTTGTAGTCTATTTTATCTGATATAAGTATAGTTACCCTCACTCTTTTTTGGTTTCCAGTTTCATGGACTATCTTTTTCTACTCTTTTCACTTTCAACCTGTGTGTATCTTTCTAGGTGAAGTGGGAAGCTTGTGCATCTTAAAAAACGAATTTGTTATTGAGATATAATTTGCATATAGTGAATTGCACAAATTGTAAATGTATAGGTCAATGAGTTTTGACCAATGTATACTCCCATGTAACCAATACCCTGAACATTTCCATAACTCCAGAAAGTTCTTTTATGCTCCACTATGGTCTGAATGTTTGTGTCCCTCCAAAATTGATGTTGAAACTTAATCCCCATTGTGATGGTCTTAGGAAATGGGACTTTTTGGGGACTGATTAAGTCATGAAGGTGGAGCTGTCATGAATGGGATTAATACCTTTATAAAAGAGATTGAAGGGAGCTGCCTTGCCCCTTCCATCATGTGAGGAGGCAGCAGGAAGGAGCAATCTCACAAGCAAAGAGCAGCCCTGGCACACACCAAATCTGCTGGTGCCTTGATCTTGGACTTCCCAGCCTGTTGAACTGGGAGAAATAAATTTTCTGTTGTTTATAAATTACCCAGTCTAAGGTATTTTGTTATAGCAGCCTGAGCAAACTAAGCCATGCTTCTTTCCAGCCAATCACTGCCCCTATTCCATTAGAAACAACCACTATTATCATTTTGATTATTATACCTTAGTTTTGTGGTTTTTTAAATTTAATGTAAATGAAATCATACTCTTTTGTGTCTGCTTTCTTTTGCTTGATGTAATGTTGAAATTTAGTTAGATATTTTTGTGTGTAGCAGTAGTTTATTACTTTTTTATGTGATGTAGTTAACGTTTCCTTGTATGAATATACCGCAACTTGTCTTTACACTCTTCTGATGATGAACATTACGGTTTTTCCAGTTTTTGGTGTAAGTATGAATAAAGCTATTAAAATCATTCTTGAACAATCTTTTTGGTGGCCATATGCTTTCATTTCTCTTGGGTGAATATTGTATTTAGAAGCAGAGTTGTTGGATTATAAAACAGTTCTATGTTTATTTTATAAGAAACTATGAGACAGTTTTACTATTTGATTCCATTTTATACTCTCACTGGCAATGTATGAGAGTTTCATTTGCTCCACAGCTTTGCCAATATTCGATTTTGTTTGTCTTTAATTCTTGCCTTTGCAAGTTTGGGAAAGAAGCAAATCATTGTGGTTTTGATTTGCCTATCTGTGAAGACTAATGACATTAAATACCTTTTCATGTGCTTCTTAGTCATTCGTATATCTTCTTTTGTGAGTGTTCAAATATTTTGAATATTTTCTGTTTTTAATTTTCTACTTTTGTCTCAATTATTGTCATAGGTGTTCTTTTACATACCAGTTTTTTGTCAGATACATGGTATTGGGAATATTTTCTCTCAGTCTCTGGCTTGCCTATTTATTATCTTAATGATGTCTTTTGATGATGTTCAACTTATCGATTTTTTTGTTTTATAGATAATTTTTTGTATCTTGTCTAAAACATCTTTACCTACTCCAAGTTTGTGAAGATAATCGAGGTTTTCTTCCAGAGGCTTTATAGTATTAGCCTTGAGGTCTATGATTCAGCTTGAATTAATTTTTGTGTATGGTGTCAGTTAAGGGTTAAAGTTCATTTTTTTCCCATGTGGCTATTCAGTGGTTCCAGTCCTTTTTGTTGAAAGCTTTCCTTTCTTCATTGAATTGTCTTGGCACCTTGTTGAAAATCAATTGGCCAATTAAATATAGTTCTATTTCTGGATTCTGTTCTATTCTTTTGACCCACTTGTCTATCCTTATACCCTTACTATACTCTCTTGATTAGCTTCAATAATTTTTATCATTTTTCAGTTCTGTTCCTTTCATCGTGGCTACTTTTGCCACTTGCCAATATTAGGTTAAGAGTTTATTTCAGAAGTTAGCACAGCTTTCAAGCTGCTGTGTATCTCAGAGTGTCTATCTAAAAATTAGGAAAAATAAGAACTCCCTTATAGGGTCACTGGGAGAAATAAACAGTCTGGTATACATGTTTAAAGTGTATTATAATTCTAAAATAACCCTTAAGGTTTAGAATGTTGCTTATTTTTATTTCACTTTTTGCTCTCTTGACCTTAAAACATATTCTTATGTACGTTTACTGAAATCCCCCAGTAGGGTCTGCACTGTAAGTTTCAGATTGTGGCAGGGCACCTGTTCTGTGGATTTAGGGAAAAACAAAGGCCCAATATAGTTGAGAGGAGTGATAGGCACCTGTTTTCTTCCTATTTACAGTAAGCCTTAACAGAGGGTGATGGTAATTCTTTCTGACATTTTTCCTTTGTCTGTTTTAAAAACAGACAAAGACTCCTTTTTCAGATGAATGACCTTTGCTCTCCTCACCCCAAATCAATGACCTTTTAAACTGTTGTAATATTTACTAGGGAATTACTTGTTCTGAGGCTTGGATTGAGTTTCTCTAAAAGATGGTATTCTAGAATTTAAATGATGGTGAGAGGAAGGGTTGAAAAGCTGAATCCATTCTTTTACCCAGACTAAACTAAGCTAAGTAATAACTCCTTCTCTTCCTCAATCATCTAAGAGCCTATAACAAAGATGAATAAAAAGTGTCAATTCTTTTACAACTTTTACCTGTTATCGCCCTAGTTCACACTCCAATTGTCATTCTTATTTCTAAATGGAAACTTTTCTTCCACAAGCTTAATGGCAACTTTTTACCTTTTTGGCCTTTGTGTTTACTAGATTATAAAATCCTGGAGGACAACTCTTTGATGTTATTTATCTTAGTTTTAGATTTTAGCCTCATACAAAGTACATTGCATTCATTTAATAAATGTTTATTCAATTAAATCAAGTGCTGATATTCTACCCAGTACAGTGTCTCATATATATATATATCTATAATATATATATAATATTGCTTGATACACACACATATATGTGTGTGTGTGTGTGTGTGTATATATATAAAACAGGCAATAATTGTTCATGATTTAGTGATCGTAGGAACACAGTATTCATTGATTAATTAATAGTTTGGACACATTCTATATTTAGAGCATTAGATGAGTCAAGTGCTACTTTCTTTTTTAAAAAAATGTTAGAACCATTCAACTAGCATTCTGTAGACCAAATTATCTAAATAATAGCTCTCCTCTTCCTTTTTCTGCAATGTTATCCATAAGATTTGGCCTGTATCACCTTATACTAAATGAAGAGAGTCTTAAATACTTATAATACCAAACTCCTTTGGAGAGAATTCAGAATAGATTTATTTCATCTCAAATTCTAACCTATCCCAGCTAGTGTTACAGACAGATTCTAGTATACTTTACAAAGATAGGTGAATAAGTAGAGTTTTGAAAAGATACAGACATAAAAATGAAGAACAGATGCCTTATGATGCTAGATTTTCCAAAACTCCCACTGTTATGCTTCTATAGAAATCATTCTCAGACCTGCCTTAGATTAATTTCTGTTCCTAGAGCAAAGTGGTAGTTATTTCTTTCTTTAATAGAACATGAACTTGTCCATCAAATCCTAGAAAGTTTGTCCTAGAGATATCCCTTAAAGCCTAAAGGAGTAAATTAAGAGCAAAAAAAGGAAGTATACATTGCAACAGGTGGTGTCTGAGATTTAGCACTAGAAGAGAAATAATATAGATTGAAAACAGAAATCCTGAAGCATTTCTCGTATAAACTCATGGAAGATAGATCCATAAATATTGTGCGGACTATAGGGACTAGGAAGGTTGGAAGTATCCCTAATCTAGATATTGATAGTAGACTAAATATCTACGACTTCCCAAAACATTCCTCTAAACCTCCCTGTAAAAAAACACACTAAGCTGATTGTGTAATGAACTGGTTCAGTACAATTGCCTCCAATTTCATTCTGGACCCTGAACGGGAGGGGACATCGTGACAAAGCAAGTTGTCTGGTGTCATGAATTTGGAACACAGCAAGTGATCTTTACTGAAGGTTATATTCTGTCATTGTCAGCCTTTTAAGGAGGCTTTGCCACCAGTGCAGGGGAGGTGAAGTCTAAGGGAAGGTAATTTTCTCAATGCCTGCCAATTAGTTTTACCGTGGAGATTTTAACTTTTTTGAAAAAAACTTTTTTTAAGTTTTTTAAAAAAACTTTCAAAACTCCGCGTGATCTTTTTCATCGTTTTCAGATAACTGAAAGTTAACCGCCTTCCCCTTCCTTCCCCTCTCCCAATCCTGAAATGTTCGAGGATTCAGAGTTGCTAGACAATGGCTAATGTCCCCCTTCCCACTGATTAGGGGAATTTGCATTTCAGGAACCAGAGCTTCCAAGGGCGCCAAATAGAAGGGCTCAAAGGGAATCAGCAGACGCTGGTTACTCTGGGCGGGGAAATCAGGTGATTTAGAGGAGGGATTTGGCGAGGTTGGGGTCGGGCTTTAAACGCGGGAGGACTAATTAATAGGAGATTAACTGGAGAGGGGCGGCGCCTGCGTCCGGCCCGCGCGGCGACAGTCCCTGCAGTGAGCGCGACCCGGCGGCGGGACAGGCTTGCAGCTTCCTCCTCCTCGGCCTCACCGTGCGTACTGGGAGGGGAGAAGGGGGCGGCGTGCAGAGGGTGGCGGGCAGGGAGGGCCAGGGTGGGTGGCAGATGGAAGACTTGGGGGATCTCTGCCAGCCCGAAAGTCCTTGGCTCCACTTAGCCACTAAACCTTAGCTTTTCAATCGATCGATCGCTTTTGAAAGGGAATTGTGTTTCTGTCCCCGTGTAAGTTTTCCCATTTCTCAAACTCCAAGACTGAAACGAGAGAATAAGTCTTTTCATGCTTGAGTGATGATTTCCAAACTTTCCCTTTTCAAGCCAAAGTAGCCTCCTCTTTGAAAGGGTCCCTGGAACTCTGGGGAAGGAGGAAAAGGCACGTGCAAGTTGTAGTAATGGAGGAAATGCCTGTAGTTTAAGCGACTGCTGTTCTCCCCAAGAGTGCAAAAGCCTGCGGTGTCTCAGTTTTCATGGGCATAATGACCTTTATGCCTATTGTAAGACAGGATTTACTCTTCTGAGCTCACTTTGATGGGAGAAACATCAGCAAGTTTTAAAGTAATACTAAATAATAATACTAATAATAATGTTAGCTATCGAAACAGGAGGATGTGGGTTAGATGATAATATTTTTGTGTGATATTATAGCCAGTGACAGGAGAGCTAAGGGTGAACCCGTTGGGAGGGTTCTCACCTGTGCCCCACTTCCCCAGTCTGGAGGAGGAAGCCATGTGGAAGGAGAAAAGGAGAAGGGAGCTTTTTTTTCGGGAATTAAGGTCTCATATATTGCTCTAGCTGGCCTGGGACAGAGGAGAGAGGAGTACATGTAAGTCTTCTAGTCTCTCTTCTTCTCTTGAAATGTGGCAGTCTGAGCTCCGCGTTTATATTCCCCTATTTCCTCTCCCCGATTTCTTTCCCAGTGAGTGCTGAGTGGGTGCCCAGCAAGCATTGCTGTATGACACCGCGGTCTCTCAGCCAGCAATCATTAAAGCCCAGTTTTCTTGGGGTCCCAGCCTGCTGCGAATCCCGGCCTACACCTACCTTTTGCATATGCCCTCCTTGGCCTTAGGATAGTACTGGACTTTGTTGTCTTCTTCTGTTTCCAAAAATGAGAGAGCTGTGTGTGCTGATTATCTTTGGTGTAATTTAAAAAAAAAAAAAAAAAAAGGCAAATCAGGCCAAATTTGGATATTACTCCCTGTGGCAGACAAGTAAAATTTTTCTACGGGTTTGTTTTAGAGTGGTGTGTATTAATCCCTGAGATTGGAAAAGGAGGTCAGCACAGTTTCCTGAGAAAGGCCTTACACCCCACCACTCCCCCGAAAGGCACCAGCATTTCACCCCCAGCCCCTGGGCTCTGAACCCCACTTTGCATGAGACCGCATAGCGGGCTGAGTCTGCAGCCACCACAATGCCTTCAGGAAATGCTAGAATTAATTTAGAGTTCCAGATTAAAGTAGCCAGCAACATGGCCACCGAATTATCTTTTTTCTTTCTTTCATGTGTAGTGTTTGTTAGTTTTAGAAGGTACAAAATTGCAGAGTCATGGCCCTGGGGATGTGTGCCCAGATTATTCGTGTGTTTCACAATATTGATGTAGAAAGGCTGGCCACCTCATCCTAAGAAGAGAACTTTGCTCATTTTGGCCAAAAGCCTATAAAGGGAAAGGGAGGTCCTCAACTGAGAAGTGAAGATTCTTCTCTGATAGATAGTACTGGGGTTTTGGGGGAGGGGTACAAAACAGGAATGAGATTTGACAAGGAAAGGCCTCCAGAAGACCAGAGCTGTTGAGAATTCTTAGCCTTGATGGTGCGTAGCCCAGAGTTAAACACTTGAGAAAACTAAGTTGCAGTCTTGGTCTCTCCACTGTGAATTTGGGTCATATTACTCACTACCTTTCTGGGCCTCGATTTCCTTATATACTAAAGGTAGAAAAAGATGTTATTGGCTCTACCTTGGGGTTTTTCAGGTCAAGTGAGATAAAATATAGAAAAGCTTTTTGAAAATTCTAAAATCCTCAGTGCCTAGAACAGCGCCAAAGTCGAGCATTTTTATTTACCAAACACGCAGCATTTAACGGGTCCCAACGCTTTGTTTTTTCGTGAGGCAGAGTCTAAAAAAAAAACAAAAAACAAAAAAGGTTTAAACATTCCAAATGCCAGATATGTCCCATAAACTATACATTTTATATATATATATATTCCCATGCATCTGTATCTCTATTTAATTTACTATTATTATTATTATTACTTTTTTTTTTTTTTTTTTTGAGACAGAGTCTTGCTCTGTTCCCCAGGCTGGAGTGCAGTGGCACAATCTTGGCTCACTGCAAGCTCCACCTCCCAGGTTCACGCCATTCTCCTGCCTCAGCCTCCCAAGTAGCTGGGACTACAGGCGCCCGCCACCAAGCCCTGCTAATTTTTTGTATTTTTAGTAGAGACGGGGTCTCACCATATTAGCCAGGATGGTCTCGATCTCCTGACCTCGTGATCTGCCCCCCTTGGCCTCCTAAAGTGCTGGGATTACAGGCGTGAGCCACCGCGCCCGGCCCCCACTTTTTAAACTTTACTCAGTTAAGACTCACAAGAATCTGGTGAAATAGGAGTTCTTATTCACCTCCTTTTCCAGGTAAGGTGAAGAGGTCCCAGAGAAGTTAAGTCACAGTTATTAAGTGGCAGGGTCGAGATCCACCCGAATGCCAATCTAGTTCCAGAGTTTTGAATACTTGACACTCTACTCCATGTCCTCTTATGAGGAAGTCACCTCCACATTAGGGGACAGAGCTCTGATCTCTGGTAAGAGAGGTGGAGATATCTATTAGCATGCTGGCCAATGAATGGAGAATACAATGAGCAAACAAACCACTGTGCAAACATGATTCATCTTTGTAAATATTTTCTATAATTCATAACCAAATTAGTGTTTTTCCCTGCTTACTTTTCTTAGATTTTTTCTCCTTCATTCCTTGAATCCTCAAACCACTTGACATTTCATCCTGTTATTTATTATTATACTGGACCACTCTTCTCTCTTCTGACAACCTTTCCTGGTAAAAGGCTTTCAGTAATTTTGTTTTGACTGCAGAGCCAACCATGATAACGGCTCCAGTTTTGTGCAGCAAACTCATGGCAATTTATTGATAAATCAGCTTTGGGGGGAAAAAAAGTTTACACCAGCATTGCCTTAATCCATGCCATAAACAACTACTATTTCTTAACCTTCTTACCTTTACTGCTTATTACCTGGCTCTCGGGTACTGTGAAGTGGAAGATGTTACCCCGGAGAGATGGTTCATTGACTCAACAGGTGTGTGTCAGAAGCTTGGTGCTGGCCTGTCTCCCAAAAACCACAGACTTTAGGAGTTAAGCCACATTCTTCATGATTGAGAAACTCTGTGTGAAGTGCGCTGTGTGTTGTCCATTTTTAAAGAAAAGGCCTCCCATTGCCCTTTTTCCCAGCCACTGACTTCTTTATGTACTTTCCTACCAACAGTCCCGGGAGGCTGCCATTTTTTTCTCTACTCTTTCAATACCAATTTCACTGAGGGGGGGAAAAAAGTTCTCTGGACTTTTGTGGCATCAATAAATAAATTTCATTCTGGGAACATGTGTAGAGGCCTACAGAGAATGTTTTAGTTTTAAAATTATTGTTAAGTAGCAAGTTTCTATTTGATACACTTACCTTAATTTTAAAAAACTTCACGTGCTTGCTGTATTTCTTCAGATCTCTGTACAGAGGCCTGGGACTTAGGGATCCTTTATTAAGCTAATTACTTTACCTACACTCTGAAAGACAGTGCAGTTTATTCATGACTTTCACCCCTTCAATACTAGAACAAAAGCGGACACATTAAATGTTACTGAAAATATTATCTTGCACTGAGAGCTCATCTAACATACTGTGCTTTCAAGACTAGAGACTTGTGGAGGTTGATTAATTTGCTATCTAGGGGATTTTTTAAAAACCTTGCACATGTAGTTTCTGTTTGCCTAAATCCAAGCCGTACATTTTTAGTCTAAGAAAACAAAAATAGGGGGGCCGGGCATGGTGGCTCATGCCTGTAATCCCAGCACTTTGGGAGGCGGAGGCGGGCAGATCACCTGAGGTCAGGAGTTCAAGACCAGCCTGACAAATATAGTGAAACCCATCTCTACTAAAAATACAAAAGTTAGCCAGGTGTGGTGGTGAGCACCTGTAATCCCAGCTACTTGGGAGGCTGAGGCAGGAGAATGGCTTGAACCAAGGAGGCAGAGGTTGCAGTGAGCCAAGATTGCACCACTGCACTCCAGCCTGGGCGACAGAGTGAGACTCCATCTCAAGAAAAGAAAAGAAAACAAAAATAGGGGTTACTTAGGTAGCTTTGATTTCTTTATCTGCAAAATGGGAATGATAATACCTACCTCACCACATAACTGGAAAAAGAAAGAAGATGACAGATATAAGGGGTGCCTACTTGTGCCAGCCACAGAGTAGGCATTCACTTAACGTCAGTTGAATTAGAATTAAGCAGAATTAAAGAGTCGAGAGCAGAATTAATCAAGTCTCTTGAAAGAGAGAGTATAGTGTAGTAAGTGTATGGGGTGTTCATGTCCCAGCTTGGCAGCTTAACAACTCGAATTTCCTTTTTCTTCTTTTGAAATGGGTACAGTTATGACAATTGTAATAGATTAACAAGGGTGATGAAAGTGTACATAACGTACATAGTATAGTTGAACACATAGCAAACTCTAATAAAGCTAAATATATGTATATGGTTTTTAATCACATTCACCAGCAACACAAACATGGCTATATGACCAATAATGATACATATTAAATGTATATAGATTACTGGTAAGATGGATAGAAAGATTGCATCTGATAGATGTCAGGCTAATAAGGACACATGCAGGGGTTGAACTTTAAAGGCGGGAATGGACATCATCTAGAAGAGATAGTACTATATGCTAACCTGGATAAATAGCATCTAAGCTTGGGTCTGAGAAAAGATGTGTGTTTCTGTGGAAGAGAGAGAAGTAGATAGCAGGGCTGATGAAAGAACAAAAGGAGGTTACAAAGAATAACGTCAGAGGACTGGAAATTTACATTTTAAACTTTACCCTAAATTCCTACCTGTTTTGACTTCAGTATTACCAATGTGTCTTGGCTTTCCTCTTCAGCACATTCCCAATTATACTTCCAACTCCAGACACAGCTACATTCCTCTACTCAACAGCTTTTAGTTGAATGTAACTTTGGAATGCGAAATGACTCGAGGATCACAAAAAGCTAATTCTCCTTCCCTATTACACTGATGAAAGTACCATAAATGGCAATTCCTTACCTTGCATTTGCAAGCCTGGTTTTTTGATGTTTCCATTATCCTGCTTCTCCTTCACTTGTCTTGGAATTGATGATGACAGTGATCATGATGATGATCATGATGAGAGTATCATAAACTTTATTGAAGGTTTTTCTTGGGCCAGTCCATATTTTATCTCAATTACATTAAACAGCAACCCATTAAGTTAGAAACTATTACTATTTTGATTTATTTATATATTTATTTATTTATTTTTGAGACAGAGTCTTGCTCTGTCGCCCAGACTGGAGTGCCGTGGCATGATCTGGGCTCACTGCAAGCTCCACCTCCTGGGTTCATGCCATTCTCCTGCCTCAGCCTCCCGAGTAGCTGGGTCTACAGGCATCCGCCACCACGCCCGGCTAATTTTTTGTATTATTAGTGGAGATGGGGTTTCACCGTGTTAGGATGGTCTTGATCTCCTGACCTCATGATCCACCCATCTCAGCCTCCCAAAGTGTTGGGATTACAGGCATGAGCCACAGCCCCAGGCCTACTATTTTGATTTTTGAGAATGAAGATATTTAGTCTCAGAGACTGAATCCCTCAAGCAAGGTTAATAGCTAAATGGTGGGACTGGAATTCAAATCCTGAAGTCTACAGTTTTGAATACTACTAAAATGACAACAAGTTGTAAGTTGGATCTCCAAAGCAGGATATATAAGAACTGAGGCTTTCCTAAGTTCAGTGCTGCTACTAGATACATAGTTTGACGTTTCCAAAGAGATCAGTCTATGACCTCTGGTCTTTTGCTTTCAACCTACTTACAGTTAATCTCAATGCAAGTATGTGATGTTAGTCTATGTTTAGGGCATTTTTGCTATTTATTTTTGCCTATAGTGCACCCTTTTTTTCAAGTAGTACTTGTTTGATGTCTTCAAACTTAATAATATAGAACTGAATAAAATATAACATTGTTTACTTTTTTTTTTTTTTTTGAGATAGAAGCTCTCTCTGTCGCCCAGACTGGAGTGCAGTGGCCCTATCTTGGCTTAGTGCAACCTCCGCCTCCTGAATTTAAGCAATTCTCTTGCCTCAGTCTCCCAAGTAGCTGGGATTACAGGCACACGCCACTGCGTCTGGCTAATTTTTGTATTTTTAGTAGAGATGGAGTTTCACCATGTTGGCCAGGCTGGTCTCAAACTCCCCACCTCAAGTGATCCACCTGCCTCGGCCTCCCAAAGTGCTGGGATTACAGATATAAGCCACTGCATTCAGCCCCTATTTACTTTGATATTTTAGAAACTAAATGATCATTTCTTCTGCAAATAGTCCAAGATATTTTTAAGAACAGTATAGTTAATGCTGCAATATAAGAACATCAAATGATCTTCCAGTTATTTTGGGTATTTATGTCTGCTTTTTCCCATTTTATTTAAGTCTTTTTCAGAGTCCAGACCAAAATTGAAAAAATGGTTGACCTCACCCAGATAATGGACGATGAAGTATTCATGGCTTTTGCCTCCTATGCAACAATTATTCTTTCAAAAATGATGCTTATGAGTGCTACAACTGCATTCTATAGAATGACAAGAAAGGTAAGAAATTTGGAGGTAATATTTTCTTACTTTTAGGAGTTGGAATTCTGGAGAGCAGTTTTCTTAATTTCCTTTTTTAATTTTTGATAAAGCCCAATATCACACTGTTTTATGCTGTAAGTGAAGTATGCAATCGTTTGGCACAGATGGATCTGATGTATTTATGGAACAGTCGCTTTCTCCTAGAAACTAGTAAATGGTTTTTTCATAATGACTTTTACCTTTTGTCATTATGCTAAGGCAGATGAGATATTCTGGAATATCAAAGTTTTCACATTTTGGAATTAATTTTGCCAATGGGGGTTTAGAAAACAATCATTTTCCAGACACTTAACTGGTATTTTCAGTGCTAGCACAGGTCAAGGGTATGATTTTGGTAAAAAAAAAAAAAAGAAAAAGAAGAAAAAGGCTGAGAATTAAAGTTCTTACTTTCAAAGTGAGCCTCATATGATATGAACCTTTTGAATTTTGTGTACCTCTGACTTTTTAAGGTTTTCTACCCAGCATTATAAGAATGACTTTTTTTTTTTTTTTTTTAGTGCAGATGTGGGGAAGGTGGTAGACAGATTCTGAAGCATATATTCTGTATTCAAGCAGGGTTTATGCCTGCTTGAAGCGCGTAGAGCAAGGCTTCCTTTGCAAAGTTAAAATATTTTCACTGGTGTAGTCCCTGTGCCCATTCAGCAACTTCTTCCTGGAGACCATCTGTTTCTCTCTTAGGACCTGTCCTGAGTTTTGTCCTCTAGAGCCTTGATTTTATTCAGAGGTCACAGTCTTCCCTAAGGTGTTTCCTTGTTACTATCTTTTTTTTTTTGAGACAGAGTCTCACTCTGTTGCCCAGGCTGGAGTGCAGTGGCAGGATCTCGGCTTACTGAAACCTCTGCCTCCCGGGTTCAAGTGATTCTCATGCCTCAGCCTCCCGAGTAGCTGAGATTATAGGCATGCATCACCAGGCCAGTTAATTTTTGTATTTTTAGTAAAGATGAGGTTTCGCCATGTCGGCCAGGCGGGTCTGAAACTCCTGATCTCTCAGGTGATCCGCCCACCTCGGCCTCCCAAAGTGCTGGTATTACAGGCGTGGGCCTGGCCTACTACTTTGCGGTATAATGGAAGGATGTTTGCATTTTAATGGAGGGCACATGCCCACATGGTTAAGTCTGTCACTAGCTGATGTGTTGCAGCATCAGGCAACAAAGTGGCTGTCTGCTTCCAGGTCCACACTGACTCCTAGGAACAGAATGTCATCAAGGAAATGTACCCTGTCTCATAAGAAAAGACGAAGGGAATTCACATTTGTAGAGTTCTGGGAGCCATGATGCTTTTTATGTGTACTTGGTCATAGAGTCATTTTACACAATTGTTAGCATTGTCAGGTGAAACGAGGATTCGTCTTTCCATTATATAGAAGGGGAACTTAGAGGTTAAGTAGCTGTCTGAGTCCCTTTGGGCTGCTCTTATGAAATGCCATAGACTGGGTGGCTTAAGCAACAAACATTTGTCTCACAGTTCTGGAGTCTGGTGAGTCCAAAATCAAGATGCCAGCAGATCTGGTGTTCAGTGAGGGCCCAGTTCCTGACTTGCAGATGGCCATCTTCTCATTGTATCCTCACATTGGCAGAGCAGAGCAGAGAGAGAGAGAGAGAGAGAGAGAGAGAGAGAGAAGGAAGCAAACTCTCTCCTTCCTCTTCTTGTAAAGACTTTAATCCCATTCATGAGGACTCCACTCTCTTGACCTAATTACCTCCCAAAGGCCTCATATCCCAGATACTATCACATTGAACAGTAGGCTTTAACATAAAATCTGGGGGGGCCACAATTCAGTCCTTAGCAATAGCTTACCCAAGGTTACATACAAATAAAGAGTGAAACTGAGATTCAAACTGAAATTGCATGAAATCCAATCTCATGCTCTTTCCATTTTAATACATTTATTTCTATATTCAACATGTATTTATTGTACATCTAGTGTGTGCCAGGCAGTTATTTAGGGGAGCACTATGATGAACAAGACAGGCCTGACCTTAAGAACCTTATCTGGAATACTTGTTCCAGATAAAGATGTTGAGGAAAACTGATGAGCAGTATCCCAGCCCTGTGCATCAGTTCTCAACATCTTTCTCTCTAATATAATGTTCACATCCTATTAAGAAAAAATAGAAAACAGATGAGATTAATTTTGCAGTTTGTGTTTTTCTCTGCCATAAATTATTAAATAGTGGCTCATGCTTAAATATTTTTTAAATGCAGATTTCAAGTTTCAAGGGATGGGAAAGCTATTTCAAAGAGCATAATAATTGCAGGAAGAAATACATAAATGTGTACTTCTTATTCCCAGGAATTCAATTCAGCTTCTCAAATTTCATTATACAGTATTCTTCAACCAAAAGTTTTATCTGCTTTAGAAAAAGAAAAGAGGTACACATATTCTGACAAAGTACAAGACACCTTTCCCATCCCTTACTCTTTTATGCTTCTTGCTGGTTCTCCAGAACCTTTGGCAGGTAAACATATTACTTTCAGATGAGCCAATCACTTGGAAATGTTAATATACTTGAGGGGAGGTATGTCAACATCACTGTGAAAAAGATACCAGTGAACCATAGTAATGGTCAATGATGACTTAGAATTATGCCTTTCCCCATATTTGCTTCCTTTTCACTGTTTTTATTCACTGGTTTTTGTTTGAGTTCTTACTTATGCTTCTCTTTTTACAACTTTGCATTGTTAATAAAAATTCAGTTTTAACCATAGATGCCTTCTTCTCCTCTTATGTTTGATTTATTGCTCCAAATGGGCCAACCTGGATGTCTGTATTTCTTCCACTAAAATGCAAATAACTTACTAGGTAGAATATCCCCATGCTATTTGCTGGTTTGTTTGTTTTCTTTTTTTTGAGACAGGGTCTTGCTCTGTCACCCAGACTAGATTGTAGTGGTGCAATCACAGCTCACTGCAGCCTCAACCTCTTAGGTTCAAGTGATCCTCCCACCACAACCTCCTGAGTAGCTAGGACTGCAGGCATGTGGCCCACCACCATGCCCAGCTATTTAAAACAAATTTTTGTAGATACAGGGGCTCCCTATGTTGCCCAGGCTGGTTTTGAATTCTTGGGCTCAAGTAATCCTGCCTCAGCCTCACAAAGTGCTGGAATTACAGGTGTGAGCTATTGCTCCTGGCCAGTATTTGAAATAAGTTTTTTTTTCTTGGTATTTGGAATAGGTTTTTGCCAATCCAGAAGACTGTGTAACATTTGGCAAAGGAGAAAATGCCAAGAAGTATCTTCGAACAGATGACAGAGTAGAACGTGTACGCAGGTAAACCAGTGTCTCTTGAAATTACTTACTTTATGAAACAATTTTGGCAAGGAGCTCAATGAAGATGCCTCAGGGTCTTGGAGACTGAACAAAAAAAGTGAGGCCTCTTACCTACTCCACATGACAATTACAGAAAACTGGACATCTGAAAGTCTCCAAGTATCATTGCAATTGTATGTATAGACAATTTTGCAATACTGTACTTTTATCTGTACTTTCTTGGGGTTAATAACATTGCTTTATGTAGGGATGTATCAAAAGTAATGGCAGGGAGGAGGTAAAATGGGAACAGTAGATTCTTACAGTTTTATCATCTCCATAGGAGAGACTGTCAACTCATGTAAAAGGTTGAAGAATTAGGTATTTTTGTGTAAGATTCAAAATAAGAATGTTGACAGTCTGGAGGAGTAGGAACCTCTTTCTGTCCCTCTCCCCACTGCCATCTCTTTTTAGATATTATGTTTTAATGTACTGGGAATTCAATGAACAATGAAAAGCAATAAGCCAAGATACTATTGGGGTATGATTGTTCCTATCACCCAGGTAGTGAGCATAGTACCCATTAGTTTTTCAACCTTTGTCTCCCCTTCTCTGCCCCCTCTAATAGTCCCCAATATCTATTGTTGCTGTCTTTGTGTTTATGTACCCAATGTTTAGCTCCCACTTATAAGTGAGAACTTGTGGTATTTGTTTTTCTTTTCCTGTGTTAATTTATTTAGGGTAATTGCCTACAGCTGCATCCATGTTGCTGCAAAGGACATGATTTCATTCTCTCTCTTTTTGTTTTGAGATGGAGTCTCATTCTGTCACCTAGGCTGGAGTGCAATGGCATGATCTCGGCTCACTGCAACCTTCTTCTCCTGGGTTTAAACCATTCTCCTGCCTCAGCCTCCCTGAGTAGCTGGGACTACAGGCATGTACCACCATGCCCAGCTAACTTTTTGTAGTTTTAGTAGAGGCTGGGTTTCACCATGCTGGCCAGGCTGATCTTGAACTCCTGACCTCAGGTGATCCACCCACCTTGGCCTCCCAAAGTGCTGGGATTACAGGTGTGAGCCACCGTGCCTGATCCAATTTCATTCTTTTTTTTTTTTTTTTTTTTTTTACAGCTTCGTAGTATTCCATGGTGTATGCTACCACATTGTCTTTATCCAATTCATATTGATGGACACCTAGGTTGCATTATCCCTTTTGTGATTCTCTGTGAAAATCTGAAGCCCCTCCCGAGTTTTCTGCAGATTCCCCTACGGCATATCATCTCCAGGTTAACTCTGGATCTGGATTCCCACTTCTATGCATGTTTCCATATTCTGCAGTTGGTTATGCTGGATGTTAATCCAGCCCTTCAGTCAGTTCCTTTCACAAATTAACTAAAAAGAAATGTGGCTAAAAATAGACTTGAGTAAGTGGAAGTGCAGAGGCATTTACACTGTGGCAACACAAACATTTCAAGTTGTTTGTTATTTCTCTGTCTGACAATGACCTTCAGCATCCTCTCTTCGGGAATAGGCCCCGTAGCTGTACCTCCTTCACTCAAGCAACGCCCAGTGTTACACCATGTTTGAGGCTCTCCTCTAGCCACACAGACTCTTCAACCTTTCAGCACTAAAATTAAAAGTACCTTCTTGCTCATGCAAAACCATTCTACCCCCAAGCTATTCATCAAGCAAGAAGGTTTCTCTTCTAAGAAAAAGTCTGTGCAGATACTTAGCACAAAATTTCACCTTCTGTCTCACTTAGTTATATACTTGTTAATTCAGCAGCCCTGCTGTGTAAATCAGTGAGTCTTGAAAATGGGTTGTGTCAAGAATACAGATATAAAATAGTTTCAGGACAAGGAATCACTGTGGACATTTCAAACAATAGCAGAACAATATCAAAGGAAAAATTATGTGTTAGATGAAAAAAATAAAATTAAAAAAAGTGGGCCGGGCGCGGTGGCTCAAGCCTGTAATCCCAGCACTTTGGGAGGCCGAGACGGGCGGATCACGAGGTCAGGAGATCGAGACCATCCTGGCTAACATGGTGAAACCCCGTCTCTACTAAAAAATACAAAAAAAACTAGCCGGGCGAGGTGGCGGGCGCCTGTAGTCCCAGCTACTCGGGAGGCTGAGGCAGGAGAATGGCGTAAACCCGGGAGGCGGAGCTTGCAGTGAGCTGAGATCCGGCCACTGCACTCCAGCCTGGGAGACAGAGCGAAATTCCGCCTCAAAAAAAAAAAAAAAAAAAAAAAGTGAGTGAAGCTTGAAGTTTTCAAAACCAGCGAGGAGACATGAAACCGTTTAAAGCCTTGTCTGGTCCTTTATGCACTTCCCCTTTTAGAGCAGGCAGCCACCTGCATGATGCTAGTCATGGCCCTGTATTTATAAAATTGCCCAGAACTAGAAAGTGATCAGAAGCAATTAGACCCTCAGTAGCACTAGTAAGATTGAAATGAAAATCCAAATAAGTCTCCTGTGTGAAAGCGTAACAAAAGATATTTTACTTGGGGATTTTAGATTCCTACCTACTATTCTTTCCGACCTTCCACCCTTACTCCCTGCCCATGGGATTGTACTTTTAGAGGAGAACGACGTTATCTAAATTGATCTGCTAGTCAGGTTGCAAATAAATGTAAGGAAGAACAATTGACCCTAGTTCTGAGAAGGTTCCGCGTCCTGGAGGAGGTGCAGCGACTGTGTGCACAGCGCCCCCTCGTGATGAGACACTGGCTTTTCAGCATAGTAAGAGAAGAGCGTCTCCAACAGAGTGGAGTTTCCAGTTGCAAAATGCTTTTTGACATAGTACCTGTTTCATCGAAAAAGTGCCTAATAACACACTTTTGGAGATATTTTTCAGAGAGAGTGTTTCCAGAATCTTCCTTTTCGATTTTTAAGCTAGACCTTTTTTTTTTCACCTCTCTCGTTACTTCAGTAATTGTAAAGCTGTTACGATTAGCGTATTTGGCAGGGACAGAATGGGGCTATAAATGCAGTGAAAAGTATGCTTTACCGTGTGCAACAGTAGAGAAAATTAATACATACACATATGGAACAATTCATTAACAACTTAAAGTAATATGTGTTGAAATACCAAGATATGTGACTTAAGGTTCTAGACAGGCAGAAACCATGATGGTTAGAAAGCACTCGACCTATTTATTTATTTAATACTCTCTTACGTTGTCTAGGAAGCATTCAATACCATATACATTCGACACAAAAAGATAAAAAGAAAGTTGAAAGGCAGACAGACCAGCTGGTGAAACACAGGGAGTCATCTGAAAGACAAAACAAACGCTTGAGGTTGGTATTCAGGGACGGGAGAGACATTTAGAATATATTCCCTTTAAAGGTAGAGAATACCCCTTCACTGAGAGTGTTCCATGGAATCTAAGTGACACTTGCTGCGGACTCTGTCAGGAGACTGGAACGCAGGCTAGGGGTTGAACTGGATGATGTCCCTTGTGGCCCCACTGTATGAACACACATATAAGGAGAGATTATTGTGTATGTATCACTGTCATTTCTTCTCCTGAGATGCTATCAAAGAGCTTTAAGACTGAGTTCCTGACCCTCAGGGGTTTATAATGTTCCCCGCCCCCCACCCCCAGTAAGACCCACATGCATGTAGAAATGGGAGAATGATATGAAGCCATGTTCCATTAGTTCCAAGGAATATTTCATAAAGGAAGATCTTGAAGAGTATTAGGATTTGAAAGAAGAGGAGAGAAGAAGTCTCGTCAATTTGGGAAAATTCCTTTGTGAGAATGTGAACACATGGCTGTGTGCTGAGGGTGAAGAGCTTTGGCTGAGATGAGGGCGTCAGGAAAAGCCTGCTGTGCAGCTCTTTTTGTAGTTGTTCACAGCCTGACAATCCCCAGATGCATGTAGCAACGTCTGTCCGGGTCAGGCGGATGCTGGGATCCAAGTAATTCTGATCTGAGAGTAGGAGGCGCGGCTGTGGCCTCAAGAGCACAGAGATGCTGGGAAGGTCCGTCACAGAGCAAATGTGTGCCAGGGAATGTCTGTCCAAAGGAAAAAGAAAAATGGGAAAATATAATCATGGGGGAGAAGGGTAATAGACCCAGGTAGAAAGTGGTCTCTTAGGAAGACCGATGTTCACCTGGTGATAGATTTTGGCAGCTGTCGGTAAATGGCGCTAACATGAAGGAAGCTGCCGCTCCAGGAAGAAGTTGTCATTGGAGCAGAGGGGAGGGTTGGGACGGAAGGGTGATAGTGCACTGCGGCACATGCTCACAGGGAGAGCTGGGGAACCGTACGCCTGGAACAGTCTCAAAAGAAGTACAAAATACACCATAAATTGGCATAAGTATGAGGGACTGTGGAAAACAGCTCTTACTAGCATAATGAGGAGTGTTATCTTTGAGAACATTTTGACGAAAGAGAAAGAGAGCTCAAAAGGGAGAATAAGATAAAGAGAAAGAGGCTAGAAAAACACGCAGGAGCTAGAAAAGTAAAGGAACGCCTGCCCCTGACCTTCCTTCCCTCTACCCTCATGGTCCTCTTACTGTCCTTGACTTTCTTCTCTGCTTTAACATTCCATTCCATGTGTCAATTGCTTAACACAGGCGTAGAAGTGGACATTGTTTTCCAGAGAGTCTCCTTTTTATAGTTTCTTCCTCAACCTTACAATTTCTGTCCTTTTGGCATGTTGTGAAGGACACTAACGTGCCTAAGATTGGAGGTGAGTATGTCTCTGTGATGCTGCAGGAGAAATCAGAGGACAAAAACGAATACCCTTGGTGTCATTGACAAAGTGGGCCCTTTAATAGAAAATGGCATTCCTGTCTTTTCTTTCCCATCGCATTCTCAGTAGTACTTGCATTGCTCCATGAAAGACAGGGCACAGGAACACTCACACCTTCCTCTCTTTGCTTTTATTCTGTATTGAAGCCTTTTCAAATGATTACTTATCTGGGCTGCTGCTGTCTTCTTCATGTGTGTATGTAGTCATCGTCTTTGTGAGGCAAGCTTAGAGATAATGTAGGGAAAACAGGAGAAAGGAAAGGAGAGGAGGAGAGTGATGATCATTGAGCAGGCAATATGTAATAATTATATGTTTATGCTATAGAAGAGAGTAACGTAAAGCAGAAATAGTTTTCATTCTGAAATACATATCAGTAGCTGACAAACTCTATCAAACTCTCCATTTCTATCCTAGATTCTAAAGCAATTTCTAATTCTGTAGACTTAAGGGACATGATATTTTAAAATTAAGTATTTTCAAAAATGTTGCTGGGCATGGTGGCTTGCACCTGTAAACCCAGTGTTTTGGGAGGCTGAGGCTGGAGGACTGCATGAGACCAGGTGTTCAAGACCAGACTGGGCAACATAGCAAGATCCCATCTCTAAAAAGAAAATTTAAAAATTAAGCCAGGCATGGTGGTGAGGCCTGTAGTCCCAGCTCCTCATGAGGCTGAGACTCAGGAGTTTGAGGCTGCAGGGAGCTGTGATTGTGCCACCGCACTTCAGCTTAAGCAACAGAGCAAGACCTCATTTCTAAAAACAACAACAGCAACAACACCAATAATAATAAAAATGTCAAGTCAATAGTAGAAGTGTTTTGTATTCGGTCTTAGCCAGAGAAACCCAAGATGCCATGACTTGGAGCAAAACTGTGGCTAAAACATGCTTTTTGTTTTTCTTCCCGTTCTGTTATAAAGAAAACATGTAGGAAATTTTCTCTCTCTTTCTCTCTTTCACCTGTCCCACTTTTTGTGTGTCCTTTGTAGTTTTGCACCATCATTCTTAACAAATTTATTTGGCATTTGGAAGATAAGTTAGCCAAAATTTTACTGTATTTGAAAGGCTAGTTATATATTCTGTTATTTAGACATAAGAGCATGAGATTCTTGATATTAAATTGGTAAATTAATTATTAGCAACCTAGTGGTTTGGGTTGGCAAGGATTCTCTCAATGATCATTTGGGAGAGTAGCAGAAGCAAAGGAGGAGTCTTAAGAAACATCAACACCAAAAAGGTTTTCTTCCTTTGGGAAAAAGAATTTTTATAAAAAGATTCTTGAATTGCTAATTGTTATGAACCTCATAAGAAAAAAGTATCTTGTATTTACAAAAATGAAATGAGTTCTATTAGATAGATGTTGTTTTGATATTCTAGGAACTACAAAATGCCTTCTGTGATATTTAAAGATACACTAAAAGTAAAAGGAAACAAAAATAATGAGAGATTCTAAATAAAAGTCAAGTGGGTAAGGAAACAAGATAATTTGAGAGAGAAAAATAAATCTTACTTTGAAATTTAAGGATCCATGAGTACTCAGATTTAGTTTTTAGAAGAGAGAGAAGAAAGGATACATATCTACTGTTTTGTAATTAGTGTCTTCAACAGTTATCTTTTTCCACAGAGCCCACCTGAATGACCTTGAAAATATTGTTCCATTTCTTGGAATTGGCCTCCTGTATTCCTTGAGTGGTCCCGACCTCTCTACAGCCATCCTGCACTTCAGACTCTTTGTCGGAGCACGGATCTACCACACCATTTCGTATTTGACACCCCTTCCCCAGCCAAATAGAGGTTTGAGTTTTTTTATTGGATATGGAGTTACTCTTTCCATGGCTTACAGGTTGCTGAAAAATAAATTGTACCTGTAAAGAGAATCATCCAACTCATTATCCAGTTGGTTTTTTAAGAATTCTCTACTTCCAATTTATAATGAGTACTTTCTTAGGTTTTAGGTAGGAGAGGAACAGAGGAATTACGAACTGGGGTAAACCCGTTTTGAATATTAGCATTGCCAATATCCTCTATTCTTGTTTTTACATTTGGATTAGAAATTTAGCATAATAATTCTTACGTCTTTTGTCTGATTTTTTAAAGTACTTTCTTATACATTTGGATCATGTTATGATTTGTAACATTCATGCAGCACTTCACTTCTGAATCTATAAAATAATTGTGTGTATGAGAAACCTATATTTCAACACTGCTGAAACGGACGTGAAATAAAGAATTTAAAGAATGATTTTGTTTTGTTTGATTTTTCCCAGTATTTTGTTTTCAAAAGTTTCAAACCTAGGGTAAAGTTGAAAAATAGTACAAAGAACCTCTCTATACCCTTCGCTTAGACTCACCAGTTGTTAACATTTTGCATATTTGCTTTTCTTCTCTCTCTGTTTTCTTTTTCTCTGAAACATCTGAGAGTAAGTGGCAGATATCATGGCACGTCACTCTTTAATACTTCAGCACGTTTTTCTTATGAACAAGGCATTCTCCAAATAACCACAATACCATTCTTACACCCAAGACATTTAGTATTAATATAATAGTGTTTCATATACATAGTCTTTATTCCAATTTTTCCAATTTCCTCAGCAATATTCTTTATAACTGCTTTATTTTGGATCCAGGAATCCAAGACCAAACATTGCCTTCTGTTATCATTTCTGTTTGGCTTTCACTTAAATCAGAGAATTCTTTCACTTACTTTTGCTTTTGTCTAACCTTGACATTTTTTGAAGAGTTACAGACAAGTTGTTTTACAGAATGACCCTTAATCTGGATTTGTTTTATCTAGGATTTTCTCATTCTTAGATTCAGATTAACCATTTTTGGTGGTGTGTCCTTCACATTATAAAACATCAACAGGCATATGATATCAGTTTGCCCTGTTATTGGTGATAATTAAATTTGATCAATTTAGTAAGGTAGTGTCAACCAAATCTGTCCATTTTAAAGGGACCCTTTTATTTCTATAATCATATGTGGGGTCATAACTTGAGACTGTATGCATATCCTGTCCCCCTACAAAATTTCACTTAATAGATTTAGCACCCAGATATGTTGTTTGGTTTCTACATATAAATATGTAGCACGTAAATCACACAAATTTAGATTTTTTTTTTGGTCTTACATGGAATGTGTACTTAAGTCTCTATAATAAAGGGTGAGCTTTTAAAATATCAGTATTTTTCTTATATATGCCATCCATCTAATTTATATTAGTTTTTGATTTTCGTATCTTTTGATGCATTTTAATTTTAAATATGTATTTCTTAAACAGTACTTTGAATGGCATTTGTGAATCGTTCATTTAGATGTGCCATTTGAGAAAAGTCACTGCGTTGCATTTTAGGTTTCATAGTTTGAGCAACTCTGAAGTCCATAAACAAAACCTATTAGACAATTGACTATGTAGAATTCCATACAAGTTTCTTTTTACTTCTTTTCCTAATGTTAAAAAAGCAGCTTTGCATACTGTGGATCTTGGCCTTAGGAACTCTTTGTGGTGTAATTAATAGAAAAGACCATGAGCTCAGGAGGGAAAAGTTTGAAACCCATGAGTTGGCTCTGCCTGCATGAACACGCACATACACACACACACACACACACACACACACACACCCCTGCTCTCTGGATTTGGGCAACTGGCTTACACTGTCTGTTCTGCAGTTTCTCAAACTTTACAAGGTTTTTTGAAGGTCATATGCTTTTCTGTATGTGAAGCCTTTGAAAAAAGTATATTTTAAGCCATTAAGTGTTTCCCATGTGTAAATTATTTCAGTAATCTCTCAATCACAAAGATTCAGATAACTGAGTTCCTCCTAGTTTTGGATCAGATCTTTGTTGAACCATTATCACGTCTTCCATTGTTTTCTCAAATTTTCTTCTCACTTGGTAATGCTTCTCTGAGCAGAAGCAGAACGGATGGTGGTTATTGTAGCAGTTATCCATTTAGCTATTAATATTTGATATTCATTAGTAGACAATTACTAGGGGAAAAGGACATTTAAATTTTATATTCTCAGAGGTATAGGAACTATGTATATGAACAGAACACACTTAAGGAAAAATGAAAAAGTCTAGGGATTACCCAGTTCAGTTTCTAAACTTAAGTATAAGTTGTAAAAACAATTTAGAATACTTTTTAACTATACTTTTACTCACAAGAGAAGCTTTAGATACAGGGGGATTTATTAGTGAAACTGCTTTTGTGAAGGAGGATGGATGAAGGGGAAAGCTGTTTACTAGTCTAGAATCCTGCATCGAGGATTCCCCACCTGACTGTAAGACAGAATTGGCTCTAGAGTGAAGTCTGTGCGCTGAGTGACTTTCACTTCTGATGGGACGCAGGTGGAATCGTACAGCTTGCCTTAACGCTATTCCTGTGAGGAATAGGATGGGTTTGTTTTCATGTTTCTGCTACTTAATTTGAAAACAAAGATTGTGGTTACCTTTGTATCTGCATGCAGATCCGTGTACACACACACACCCACACCCATCACCAGTACTAACCATTATGAATGCTTAGTAATCGGATAACATTGTTACTTTTCGAAACACCACCATCTCCCTACATTCAGGCCTGGTTCTGTACTCACCTATCCTAAGCCAACTCTATCACAAGCAGTTCAAGATCCACTGAAACTGGAAGATCTGTATTTCTTACAGAGTCATCATCTAGGGCAATGATGGGGGTTTTGGGGGCAGGGTTCAGTGACTCTCAAATGAAACTGGAGTGAGGTAGATTTTACCAGAATTACTGTAGCAAGGGCAAACGTTATGTTTATATAGATATTGAATCTGTATTATATTGGACAAAACTTTATATTTTTATATAATACTACATGACATAGAATCTTCTTAATAGGCGGGAACATCTGTAAGATGCACTGTCTTGGGCATGTTGATGGAGGGGGTAGGTCATGAGATTTTTGTGTACATCGAAAGCCTCTGTGGTTTAAACAAGGCTGAGAGATCCTTGTTGAATTAATGTCAGGTAGATGAGTCCTTCTATTTTGAAGACTGAGAAACTGACTCTTTGAGGGCACAGGAGTTCTTAGGCCCAGAGAGGCAGATTCAGAAGAACCTAAATATAAATGAGACTGGAGTAGAAATGAGAATGGCAGGAAATGCATGGAAACAGACCGTCCCATGGCCTGGTTGTCTGAATCCCAGAGAGTAGTCGCTTCTCTTGCTGTGGTCAAGATGCCCCGGAAGCTAAGTCATAAGAGAGGCTTCTGTTGGTTCTCTCTATGGGATCACTGCTAAAGATCCCAGAGTCACTCCACGTCCCAGTGTTCTGCACATTGCCGTATGTTGGCTTGTGTGGCGAAGCAGCATGTTTGTGAGTGTGGGTTTAAACCAAACAGAGTTAGAGGAATCAAATATTAAATGACGTACAACTAAGATAATCTGACACATCCATTATTCACTTCAAGATGGAGATAATATGTCTTCAGGGAAACGAAAAACCTCACACAGTCTGTTGGCCACAGCATCCCACATTCAATTCATCTTTACACTTGGAATGACTCTGCAATTGGGACTGGCAAGGCCAAGTCTGATGACACAGGACCCTCACTACTGTGGGTGCTTGGATAGGTATACTCAATGCTTATCTTTGTGTTTTTTGTTTCCTGTTTCTTGGGCTATCCAATCACTCTTCTGACTGATACATTCTCCCTTTCACTATATTAAAACCCAAAGAGGCTACTTCTTGTATCTTACCAATCAGGAAGTGACTTGGCATGTCTATGCTGTGTTTAGCTAGGAGGTTAACGATCAAAAGGTAATTGTACAATCTCAGATCCCTAGTTATTAGGGAGACCCCTCAAAACCCGTAAGCACTTCTGACTACTACCTTCCCGATCTAACATGCAATGATTCTAAGGCCCGAAGTTTTGCTAGGCAGCGAGGAGAAGGGCATGGAGTTTCTCACAACCAAGTGTTAAATTTTAATGCAATAAGGCCCAGTCCTAGGGAATCCTGATGGGTTCTGTCAACCATTCACCTGAGAGCTCTACTTTATAAATAAAGAAACCAAAAAGAAAGTTTTCTGAGTTGCATAGTTGCATCACACTGATTCTTCATAGAGGCAGATGGTGAGAAGTGAGGCAATTTGCCTTGGGAGTCTTTACAATCCATTTAGAAACAGCAGCACAAAAATCCTATGATCATCTCCCCGCTGCCAGCCTGAAATGTCAGCCCTGTGGGAAGCTGATAGGTGTTCCTGCCATCAGCCAAAGCGGCACCTCTACATTCATACCTTTCAGGGTACTTTATTCACTGTATATTCTGTGTAAACTGTTGGATTTGACAAGGAGGAGTTGTCGAAGGCAGACTACTGGGAAGGGGCCGTGTTGGGTTGAATTTGGCACCAATCTCTCATACTTGACAGCTCATGTATAAGATTGTGGATGAGCTATAGGACCTATGAGCCTCCTCAGTCAGCAAGCGCAGGCCCTAAGTCACATTTAATTCAGAAAGCCCTGACAGCCCTGCATAAAATGTGAGCCGTAAAATGGAGAGATAGGAGCTGTGTGCAAGAGTAGACCATTTAAGTTATTTCCTTTTACTGAAGTTTTGGAAAACATGAACCAGGACAATATAGACTCTGATATACCATGAAGATATCTGTATTAGTAAGTTCAAGAAAATAATCCAAATAATCCAAACTTGAAGCCAGACATAATTTTTAATGACCCAATACTAAGAAGGACATCAGTGGAGAGTTAGAGGCTGCCTGAAGTTTTTAGTCTTTCAGCCTAGGTCATTCATATCTATACCTATGTCTTTATATAAGCAAAACCACCCAAATTAAAGAGAATCGTGAAGGACTGAAGCAGTGTGGTATAGTGAATAGATACTGGATTTGAAAAACATCCATATTTGAGTCTTGAGTCTTGAGGCTTTCTGGCTGCCTAAGATAATGACTGAGGCTTTATGCCCCATCCTTAATTCTAAAGTGGCAAAATTAATACTTTACCTACTGTATTAACAGCCACAATAATTCTGCATGATAAATCATCCTATGACTCAGTGACTTTGCTAATGATTCTGCAAGGTTGAGCTGATCTGGACTGGGTTTGCTCATGTGTCTGCTGTAAGTTACGGGTTAGCCAGGTGGTCCGGCTGGATGTGTGTCTGGGTTCTCTAAGGAATCTGGAACTTGGCTGAAACTTGGCTGATTCAGAAAGACCTCAACTAGGGTTACTTGGGCAACTCAATTCCATCCCATGTGTC